CTCTCCAACATTCAACAAGTCCTGTCACTTTACTTTCAAAATATACTCACAATTTGACCACTTCTCCTCTTCACCGTCATCCTTTCTTGACTGGAATTGCAGCAACTTCCTTACTGGTCTCCCTGCTCTGCTCTCCTCTGCAGTCAGTTCTCAGAAATAACACTCAGAATGATCTTACTAAAATCTAAATCAGATCATATTCCTTCTTTGCCCTTAAACCTCCAAAATGCTTTGTCTTACTAAGAGTAAAGATCAAAACCAAGACCTTCCATGACTTTAGAGCTATTTTTTCCTACCACTTCATCTTTTATATGTCCCTCCTCACCCATCTGCTTTAGCTCAACTCCCTGCTCTTCTGTGAATGGACCAAGCACCCTCTTGTCTGAGGGCCTGTATCTTTACATTTCCTTCTGTCTGGCATCCTCTGCTGCATGGAAGGGAAGGGTCCCCTCACGCTGTCATCAGGTTAGAATGACTCACAGCTGACCTTCCGTTGGTTTCCAAAGCTGCTAATCATGTGGGAGGAGGTTGCCCATCTTTCTCCTAAAGAGCTGATGTTTGATTTGAACCACTAGAGAGGTGTGACCTTTCGGTTGGCGGCACAACTCCCTAGGCCACCAGGGTTCCCTTGACAGCCTATTTACAACTTCAGAATATGCTTTTAGCAGTTCCTATCCCCTTCTCGTCTTTATTTTATTCTTCTCAGCATTTACCACTCAGAGTCAAAGTTATTAACGTGGAGTGGGAGGTAACTGACACATAGCTGACCCTCCAGCAGGTTTCCAGAGCCTCTAAATAGAACGGGAGGTGACTGCTCATCTTATTCGTAAGGAGCAACTGGTGAATTTGAGTAAAATGCCTTTGGGCTGGCAATTTTTTACCCACTAGGCCACCTGAGTCGCAAACGACTCGACGGCACATAACAACAACAACAACAACAAGGCCACCTATTTACCTAGACTCCCTATTTACCAGTGTTGTTGCTGTTGTTGTGTACTGTTCAATCTGAACTAGACAATAGCTAGTGAGTTTGGAAAGAGATTGCCTTTCCCTCTCCCACAGAGCAGCTGGTAGATTTGAACCATGAGCCTTTGGATTACAGCACAGCTTCATACCACTAGGCCACCAGAGTTTCCTGTTTACCAATAGCATAAGTCTATATTTTCTTGTGTTCTTTATTGTCTGTCTTCCTTGCCACAATAAAAGCTTCACAAGGGCAGAATTTTGGTCTGTTTTATTCCTTTTATATCCCCAGTGTCAAAGCAGTACCCGGCATCTGGTCAACACTCAGTAAATTTGTTAGTATCTGCATTTTACAGAAGAGAAACCAAAGGCTCAGTGAGATTAAATAATGTGCTCACAGTCGCACAGCTGGGAAGTGGCAGTGCTGGGTAGTTAAATGTTCTGCGATGTTTTACAACATAAAAACCAGTTTAGCAAAAAGATAAGGAGCATCATCAATGGCCCCTTCCCAGCAACCAGTTGAGGAAAGGAAATCTTTTCAATGAAGAAGGATTCGGTGTGAGGAAAGTAATGTGACGTGAGGAGAGCTGGTAGAATTGCTCTGTGGATGCTTGGCTCAGCATTGAGATTGGAATGTTGTTCCTACGCAAGGAAGCAGGGGAGCAATCACGCTTGTTCAGAGGCTTGAAGGCTAGTGACTGTAATTAAATGGAGACCAGCTGCTTCAGGCTTATGGTGCGAGGGAGGCAGGGGGCTCAGCTACTCAGGAAAAATTTGCTGAGCCTAGAGGTGAGCACTTTTAGCACTTGTCAGCACCAAAACCTCTCCTTGGCAATGTCACGCAGATCCACCATGGCCTCCCCCAAATTCCTTCTTTGTTTATCCATTCCACTGAAGACACAAGCAGTACTCCTCAATAAATTACCAGGAAAAACACTCAGAAAGCAACCTTGTAATTAGATCTGCTAAAAAACCTTTGTGCCAATGAGGACAGTGATTCTTCTTCTTTTTTCTTTTTTCCAAGAACATCTTTTTTGAGGAAGAGGAAACAGGAAAATTTGGACAGTGGTTGTCCAAGGAAGTGAAGGGAGGCCTCTGCGTTACACTTGGGACACCACTGGCTCTGTCCCTCCATCACCTGGAGATGAGGCAGGCAGGCAGGTCTCTCCACTAAATAGGAGAGAGGGAGAAGGCAGGACAGGGCATAGGTCCTGCAGGCTGTGAGCAGTCAGAACCGTTATTATTGATAAGTGACTTCAAGTTGATTCTTCTTCTGTCATCCTCCTCAGCAGCCAAATACTTGACTATGTGCAAGATGTTAACAATTTCATCTCACTCAGATCCACAATCAGTATCTTTGGCAGCAGCAGTCAAGAAATCAAAAGATAGGTTTCATTGTGAAAATCTGATGTCAAGGATCTCTCCAGAGTGCTAAAGGGCAACAATACCAGTCTAAAGGCTAAGGCATGCCTAACCCAAGCCGTGGTCCTCTCACTTGCTTGCTGTGCATCTGAGAGCTGGAAGGTGACTAAGGATGACAGAAGAAGAATCAATGCCTTTGAACTATAGTGCTGGAGAAGAGTATTGAACATTCCGTGGACTGCCAAGAGAAGATCTGTCCTGGAGAGGTGAAACAAGGTTACTCCCTGGAGGCAAAGATTTTGAAACTATCTTACATACTTTGGGCATGTTGTGAGGAGGGACGAGTCCTTGGAGAAGGACATCATGCTTGGACAGGTGGAAGGTCAGCACAAGAGAGGAACACCCTGGGTGAAATTGATTGACACAGTGACTGTCGAAATGGGGTAGGTGTCTCAGAGATGGTGAAGTTGGTTCAGGATAGTGCAAGAGGTGTTGTCCTTGGGGTGGCTATGAATCATAGTTGGCGCGATGCCATGGAACATGAAGAAGGCTCCACCATATAGTAGCAGTTGCTCTGTAAAAATGTTTGTTGGGCAGATACACCTAGAAATCAAACTATTGATGTTTACTTTTTAAAACATTGTGGTGTATATATCTCAAAGCATTTGCCATTCCAACTTTTTTTAACATGTAAAATTAGTGACATTGCATCCAACACGGTACAGCCATTACCACTGTTCATTTCCAATGTGTCTGCTACCCTTAAAATTTCAGTTTCCCCTAAGCCAATGAGTCCACTTCTCTCTCCCCCTTATTTCTTTTTTTATTATTCATTTTAATGAAAGTTTACAAAGATTTTGGATTTCCATTCATTCATTATTGTACTTTTCTCCCTACCTACGCCTCCCCACCCCTTTGAAAAGTAAAAGAAAAAAAATCTTTCATTGTTATATAATCTCTCTCCCCAAGTCCACTCCACTATGAAGGCTTCTTTCTGGACTCCTGCCATGATAATAATAACTAATCACATATCCCTTTAAAACAATTCTCTCGTCTGTTGCAATGCAGTATACATTATTTATTCCCTCTTTCTCAGTCTCCCCCCAACCCTGATGTCAGTCCTGTTTTCCAACAGTAGCACTATGCAGCATTTGTCCTTTTGTGACTGAGATATTTCATTCAGTATAATGTCCTCCAGGGTCACCCATTTTGTATATTATTTCATGAGTTCTTTGTTTTTCAATGCAGCATAGTATTCCATTGCATGAATATACCACAGCTTCTCAATCCATTTGTTTGTTGATGGGCACTTCGGTTGTTTCTAACTCTTTGCTATTGTGAACAAAGCCGCGATAAACATGAGTGTGCATATAACACATGAAGAAATGTTCAAAATCCCTAGCTCTTAGGCTCTTAGAGAGATGCAGATCAAAACAACTATGAGATATCATCTCACCCCAGTAAGAATAGGAAAATTTAACAAAACAGCAAACAATAAATGCTGGCAAGGTTGTGGAAAACTGGAACCCTTATTCACTGTTGCTGGCAGTGTAAAATGGTGCAACCACTATGGAAGGCAGTATGGTGCTTTCTCAAAAAGTTGGAAGTAGAAATACCATTTGACCCAGCAATTCCACTACTTGGAATATACCCTAAAGAAATCATAACCACCACCCAAACAGATATATGAACATCCCTTCCCATTTTTTAAAGTTATTTTTTAACTTTTATTAATGATTTTTTGAAATGCAACATATATATTTGTTACAGCATATTCTTTCCATTTAATTTTTCCATTCCTTCATTTTTGCACATTTTCCTCCTTGCCCACCCCTCCCCCATTCGTTTTTCTCTTTGAAAAGAAAAAAGAATTCTTTCATTGTTATACAACCCCCCCTTAAGTCCACTTTCCACTTGAGTATGCATTTCTTTTTCTGTAATCTTGGGAATGGAATAACCTGATAACCTTAATAGCCACTTAACAATAAACTTGGATCTGTATAAATGTGCATATTTTGGATATTTCACACAGGTCTACTTTTTAACAGTTACATTTCTCCATGAGCATGTCTTTTCCTATATTTTCCTTATTTTTTAAGCTGATTTGGAATTTAATCTTAAATGGACAGAAAACATCCCCTTTATTTATCCCTTTTACTAAGCTAAATTAATATAGTTCCATGTGCCCATGAACTATGTCCATAGGGTCCCTATGAGTTGTAATCAACTCAACAGCGCCTAACAATAGCAACAGCTTGAGCCTGAAAACTATTTAAGACATACTGATCGATGGGCTGAAATCTCTTGCAGGTTTCGGCTTGGTGACTTGTAGGAGAATGCAGCTGTCAGGCACATAGTTTTGACCAGCACAGTGTTGATTAGTTTATGTCGAAATTCCTCTCATTTGTGCTGCTGGCCCTACCACTTACTTATGATAGCTTCATGCGCTTACGTGTTCTCAGATTTGTGTTTACTGCCTGCCCTTGTGGGGTGTTTGCGTTTGTGACCCCTGGGCCAGGAGACACACGGGAGTACTTCTTGTATTACTGATAAAGAATTGAAGGAGCTGGCTGATACTACCCTGTCCTTCCTTTTCTTCCAGCCTCTTCCTGTAGCTCGCTCAGCCACAACAGAAGGGCGCGGCGCTCAGGGTAACACAGTGTCTTGCTTTGCAGGTACTATAAGATCAGCGTGGTGCTCATGTGCTTCATGGTCCCCACACTGGTGCCCTGGTACCTCTGGGGAGAAAGCCTGTGGAATTCCTACTTCTTGGCCTCTATCCTCCGTTATACTATTTCGCTCAACGTCACCTGGCTGGTCAACAGTGCTGCTCACATGTATGGAAATCGGCCCTATGACAAGCACATCAGTCCTCGGCAGAACCCGTTCGTTACCCTGGGTGCCATTGGTGAGTATGGTGTTGGGAGAGAATGGAGAGATTAGGAGCTGAGGTTTTCTTGGCTTCTGCATTGTTTTATGGAATCTATAAAGAGAAGTAATGAGGGAACTTGATCCATGGAGTTAGAATCAAGGATCTTGGACACGTCACTCGATCTGATTCAGTTTTCACATCTGTAAAAAGGAAATAGAAATGCCTATTTAAAGAGGAGGTTGCAAGGATTAATTAATATACTATAGATAAACTCTTGTTCCCTAGAGGATTGCAGGGCTTAATTAAGATACTGTAGATAAGCTCTTTGTTACCTAGAGGATGACCAATAACTAGTAACCTGTTTCTCTTGGGTTGGTCCCTCAGTGGTTCAAACTGTTAAAACTTGTCTCTTAATCAGAAGGTTGGTAGTTCCCATCTACCTAGAGGTGCTTCAAAAGAAGTAGTTATGAAAAACAGTCCCTGAAAATGGAGTTGTCATGGATGACCAATAGGTAGTAGTTCTTTTTCCCCCTAAGGAGTCCTCATGGCATAATGTGTGATGTGTCAAATTGTCAATCAAAAGGTTGGCAGTTCAAATCCACTAGTGGATCCTTGGGAGAAAGATGAGCATTCTCCTCCCAACAAAATTTACAGCCTCGGAAATGTGATGGAGTTTTGATATGAGCCAAGATTTTTTGGCCATAAACTCAAACTCATTGCTATTGAACCAGAACTAACTCATAGTTGACCCTCTAGCTGTTTCCAGGGGCCATAAATTCCACAGGATATGATTGCTCATCTTTCTCCAGAGAAGTGACTGGTGGCTTCAAACCACCATGAAGGTACAGGCCTTTGGGCTAGGAGTGCAATTACCTATGAACTACACCACCATAGTCATGAAATTTTCCCAAAGAAGAAACAGAAGCTAACTTTTCTCTGACCCTTTCATTACTACAACTGTCTGATCATTTGACAGATCTTAGAAATAAAAAAGACTTTCAATGAGAAAGGTGAGGAGATCCAAGACCTTAGCATCACATACTACAAAGTAGGTTAGTGTGATGGGTTTAATTGAGTCTCAGTTCCCCCACTGGACAAGTTATCTAGCTTCTTAGGGCCGTATGTCCTCGTCTGTAAACTGGGGACACTAGTAGAACCTACCTCCTCTTCTTAGTACTATCAAATTGGAACCAACTCAGCTGACCTTCTGTGGTTTTTCAGAGGCAATAAATAACTCGTGCAGGAGGAGATTGCCCTTAAAGAAGATACTGAAGACCCTCATTTACGAGATTATTTTGAGCAGTAAACACATCTTTCTCCTGTGGCTCCACTCGCTCGCTGCTCCATGGAAGAAAGATGGGCAATCTCCTCCCATGCAAGTTACTGCCTCTGAAAACCACTGGAGGCTTAGCTAAGGGCTGCTCAGTTCCAACTCGACGGTAAATAACAACCACCACCACCTCGCCATGGAGCCTTTGGAGACTTAGATGAGTTAATACATAGTGTTTGTAGCTGTGCTTAGCACACATAAACTTTCTTCCCCCCAATATGAAATCATTTCTTGATTACACATAATAATGGATGATACACAAATTTCAATCCCATTTATAATTTTATCTGGTTTTTGTTGCATACCTTCAAGTCAGAACCAACCCATAGCTGACACCCTCCCCCTCACCGCCCCCCAGCCTCTGGTGAGTTTTCAGAGGCAATTAATCACTGGAGGAGACTGCCTGTCCTTCTGTGGAACAGCTGGTGGCCTTGAACCGTGTGCTTTTGGGATTGCAGCTCAGCTTCTTGCTACTATTCAATTTAGATATAGTGCTTGGAATGTGCCAACAACCATTTTTATAACCAAATAAATGAGTTAAACTTTGCTTGGGTGACCATTTTCAATGGTGAACTCCAGCCCACAAAACATTAGCTGTTAGTTCAACTACGCCAAAGTTTCTGTAGACAATGGCTTCTTTGTCCCCAAGCATTCTAGTATTGAAAATTTTGGCTGAAACCTGGCATTGCCCTGAAGGAATTCTTCAACACTGTCAGATTATTTATCAAGATGGCTTCAGAGTAGACTAACTGTACACAGCATATGTTAAAAAAGGATATTTATTCAGTGTCATGATCAGACATTTAGCAATCAACAGCATAGGTGCAAAAAAAAATCTACATCAAGACCCTTTTGTTTTCAGAATGCTTTATATTTTCCACAGAACAGAAACTAAAATAACCTGTTATACAATTAGTCACAAATACAGTGCTCAAGGGTTTTTTGCCCCATACACATGAGCATTGTTTAAAACATGTCTTCTTTGTAGCAGCTAGGCCCTGCCACCACTGTGCCTGGATGAGTTCACAAATCTGTTGGAACCTGTAGCTTCTCTGACTCTCCACTCCTGCTAAGCTTTGTTTCCTGGCAGTTATAAAACCATCTGCCACTTCCATAGCTACTGCTGCTGCTGCTTGAATTACTATAGCTACTTTGGTTTTGTGGTTTGGCAAAATATTGACCTCCACCACCATTAGGGCCAGAGCTTCTGTCTCCAAAGTCTCTTCCCTTCATGAATCCAAAATTGGAAGACTGTTGTAACTGCCAAAATTATTGTGTCTTCCACTATTTCCAAAGTTGCTTCTGTCATTACCAAATTCTCTATAATTATCCCCACTGCCTCCTTATCCTTCCCAACCACAGTTGCCACTAAAACAGCCTCATCCACTAAAGTTTCCTCCAAAGTTGTCATTCCCACCAAAACCGCCTCCACCGAAGTTTCCAGAACCACTTCGACCTCCTTGGCTGGAAGAGGTACTGGCTGTCTCTGGCTTTGACAGGGCTTTCCTCCCATTCACAGTTGTGATTATTCACAGTATGGCATTTCTGAATTATATCTACAGAGCCATTATAATCAAAAGTTACAAAACCAAACCCCTGTTCTTGCCACTGCCTCAGTCTGTTATGATTTCAATGACTTCAGTTTTCCTCCAGTGCTCAAAATAATCTTGTAAGTGATGTTCTTCAGTATCTTCCTTAATTCCACCAACAAAGATCTTTTTCACAGTTAAGTGGGTACCTGGTCTTTGAGGATCTTCGCTTGAGACAGCCCTTTTTGGTTCTACACCCTTCCATCCACCTTGTGGGGACTTTTATTAATGGCTGCATTCACCTCTTCCACACTTGAATATATGACAAACCCAAAGCCTCTGTGGAGCACTTGGTATTTGGATCTGTCATGACCACACAATCTGTGGGCATCCCCCAGTGCTCAAAGCGGCTCCCTCAGGCTTTCCAAAGCTCAACCCTCTGATGAGTTCCTGATACAGTTCCTATAGCTGTTCGGGCTTTTTAGGAGTCTCTGAGTTCAACACGAAGGTGGAAGGTGGTGGGAAGAATCAACTTAGCGATGCTTTCTCAGGCAGCGTTCCCCAGCAGAGAGGAGCAAACTCTCACACATGATAACCTTTCAATAATGTTGTTCTTCTTACTAACAGTGTGATCTTGGACAAGTTCCTTGTTTCTGCTGTACTTCCTCATTTATAAAATGTGATAACAATAGCTAACTCAGATGTGTGAGAATTATAGAAGTTAGTATCTGCAAAAGTACTTAGATTGTTAAAATCCACTTAGAGGCCTTTACTTTCATTTTACTTGGACCCACAACCAACACCCATGGTCATGGCAGCCAAGAAATCAAAAGATGTGTTGCATTGAAGAAGTCTGCTGTCATGGACCTCTCCACAGTGTTAAAGAGCAATGATGTCGGCTTAAAGATTAATACATACCTGATCCAAGCCATGGTACTTCCAGTTGCTTCCTATGCATCTGAAGGTTAGACAAAAGAAGAATCAATGCCTTTGAATTGTGTGTTGGCAAAGAGTTATTGAAGATCCCTTGGACTACCACAAGAATAAACAAATCTGCATATTTTCAGAAAGAACCAGTCTGTACAGAAAGACATCATGCTATGAAAGGGAAAGGGTCACTGTAAGCCTAATAACAAACAATAAAAACAACAGCAGAGCCCCCTCAGGAGTTAGGCCTGGAAGTCTGCTTCCAAAAGACAAGAACCTTGAAGATGCTACAGAGCACAATTCCCCTCTGCATATATGGGGTTGTTGTGAATCAAAACAGGCTCAATGGCAATTGATTTTAAAACACTTAAACTTGTGCTTGGCATGCAGTAAGGGATAAAACAGTCTGTTTCTTTCTAGAAGTAGTTCAGGCTCCTTGGCCTGAATTAAGCATTAAGCATGGGGATTTAGCCCAGGAGTGTACTTTCTACTCTTAGATAAAAATAGTCATTTCTGTCACTCAGTGATGTGTTTCTGCCATTACTTTGTTAGGGTCATCCATTTATTAGGATAGTTGCTGTTTATTAGGATCATTGTTATTGAGTCAGTTCATAGCTGACCCTCCAGCAGGTTTCCAAGATGGCAAATTGCATGGGAGGAGACTGTCTATCTTTCTCCCATGAGATTTGAACCATCATAAAAGGGTAGCTTTTGATTAGCAACATAACTCTCTATAGTCTACACAACCAGAACATGAAGATTCGGCAGGGGATGGGAGTGTCCTAAATAGAGTTCTTGTTCACTTAGGTTGCTGGAAATACAAGGTAGGATGAAGACCTAAGTTAGCTATGGAACTTAGCTTATGAGTCAACAAGGAGATTGCTGTTATGCCATTGAGTCAGTCCTAACTCATGGTGGCCTTCTGTCCAAGCAGGGAAATTAGTGCCTTAGACAACAGAAGACAGAATTCCCATCCATTCACCTTTCATTTCCCAGAAAGTCTATAATAAAAGCAGCCACCTCCATTATAAATTCTGAAAGCAGAGTGGACAAGATGGACTGTCACCATCTTACACAGGGACAGGAGAGCCAGGGCAGCTGAGGAACGTGACTGTGACACTGGCACATAAGAGCTAGGTGTTCGTTTTAAGTCTCTTTCTAGGCCAGTGTGAACTTTCAGTCAGCTTGCTTTCCCAACAGTACTTAAAAGACTCTAGATACACCTACCTGTGTGTCAAAGTGGTTATACAGACATTCTTAGAACAATACCTCTTTTTAAAAAGAAGGGATAAAGACTTCCATGAACTATCTAAGAAAAAGGCTAAAAACGATGTGAGTGGAGGTCAGGGTAGGCCAGTCCTAAACTAAAAGGGAAATGTCAGACTTCAGATTGATCCATCTGGTCTTCTCATAGTAGAGAAGAAGTCTTTAGATATATCCTCGAAGAGAAGGGTACAGTTATCAACAGTAGCTTAAGAACAAGGAACCTTCCCAGAAAACCCAGCCCACTGCTGCCAAATTGATTGATTCATCGCAGCCCTAGATGGCATACTAGGATGATGCCACACGATTTCTAAGGCCATAAGTCTTTAAGGAAGCGAACAATTTAAGCACTATGCTGCCAGGGTTCCTCAGGGAGCTTAGGGGGTATTAGATTTAAGCTAACAGTGGTAGAAAAACTGAAGAAAAAAAAAAAGGATAACAAGAATGGTTTCACAACTTGAAGAATGTAATCAGAGTCACTGAATTATACATGTAGAACGTGTTAAATTGGCCTATGTTTGATCATGCTTATTTTCAACACAGTTTTCTTCAAAATTGGAGCAGGGGTTGAGAAGTTATTAAAAAACTTCAACATGAGTTTCTTAGTCCTGGATATATACCCAAGACACGTAATAACACATCCGCACAAAAACATACACATATGCTTACAGCAGTATTATTTATAATGACTAAAAAAAGTAAATACAACCCAAATGTCTGCAATTGATGACTGGATAAATAGTGATGTACTCAGGTAATGGAATAATCCTGAGACATAAAAAGAAAAAAAAATTCTAGTACATACTACAACATGGATAAACATTGTAAACATTATATTAAATGAAAGAAGTCAGTCAAACAGTACCTAATGGTATAGTTCCATTTTATGAAATATCCAAGATAAGCAAATCTGTGAAGGCAGAAACTTATGTTGGATGATTTGTGGTTACTAGGACTGGGATGATATATGGAGAACAGATTGAAACTGGCAGTGACTTCATCTTACTTGAATCCACAATCAATCCCTTTGATACCAGCAGTCAGGAGATCCAGAGATGTCTTGTACTGGGAAAGACTGCAGTCAGGAAACTCTCCAAATTATTGAGGAGTAATGATGTCAGTTTCAGGACTGAGGTGCTCCTGATAGGACAGGTTTCAGATCTAGTATTCATAGGGTCACTATGGGGCATATTTGGTGGCAACTAACAACAGCAACTAGACTGGGAGGTATAGGGGAGTGAACTGACAGCCAAGGAGCATGGTATTCTTTCTTGGAGTAATGAAAATTTTTAAAGATTGATTGTGATGATGGGTGCATAATTCTATGAATGTGCTTGAAGCCACAGGATGATAGCCTTTAAATGAGTGAACTGTATCGTATGCGAACTAGCTCAATATAAACTGTCCAAAAAATATCAAATGAGAAAGCCATAAGGCTTCTCATAAACCCCCCAAAATTGGAGATGAAGGGATTCTCACATATTTCTTCCAAGATTTCCCAGGAAGTTTTCCTTTAATTCCTCCAGGTCACAGAGATGATTTGCCATTTTTTGATGGGTACATTTTATTGTAATTTAAGTGAATATTTGCAGAGCAAATTAGCTTCTCCATTCAAAAACTTACTTTGTGAATTCAGGTACAATCCCACAATATAACAGCATTCTTCCCACTTCGTTTCTGGGTTTCCTATTTCCACTCACCTATCTTTACTTGCCTTTTCCTGCCGTCTGAGCTTTGCTTTAGGGCCACCTCTGTCCTTTTGGTCTCCTGTGGTTGACCATCCTGAAGAGTCTGTTCCTCATGGCTACTGTTGACCACTTTGTAAGGCATGTCTGTTGTTTGGCTGAAAAGTGAGTTCTGGGACTAGACTCACAAAAATGTTTCAAGGGGATCTAAGGGTCATAAAGGGATGATTTCTTTTTCTGCACATACATCCCTATGATTACCTTTTATTGGCCATTTAACATTTATCTTAAGTACAGCTCTAAGCTAATGGTATCATACTATAGTTTGTGTAGGAAAAGCTTGTTAAATATGTTAAAACTTTCCCCCAACTGTGTAAAGTTGGTTTAGGTTATCTAGGCAGCCAGTTGACCCTCGGTGGTGCAGTGGTAGAGCTCATGCCTTCCATGTGGGAAACTTATGTTCAATTTTCTGCCAATACATCTCACATGCACCATCCGTCACTGGTGTTTTACATGTTGCTGCAATTGCAGAACAGGGAGCACTGGTGGCCTAGTGAGATGGAGTTGTGCTGCCAACCCAAAGGCAGGCAGTTCAAATCCTTCAACTGCTCTATGGAACAAAGTTGGGTAATCGCCAGTGTGGTTTACAGCCTCTGAAAATCCTCTGGAGGGTCAACTATGAGTCAGTTTCAACTCAACAACAATAAGGTTTAACAGATCTCAGTGCAACTTTCAGACTAAGAAGAAAGGCCCAGTGATTGACCTTTTTTTTTTTATATAGTGATCATGGTTTTATTTTTATCTTTAAATGTTCTGATATATTTATTCAAAATTTTCATTTGTATCTATGATGGAAGATTTTTTTCATTTTAATAATTTTAATGAACATTTACAGAGATTTTGGATTTCCATTCATTCATTGCTGCACTTCTCTCCCTGCCCAGCCCTTCCCCCGCCCCAGTTTGCTCCTTTCTTTTAAAAATAAAAAAAACACTCCCTCCCTGGTACACAATCCCCCTGCACTGCTCCCATCGCCCCAAGAACATTCCACTATGCAACCTTAATTGTGGACTCTTGTGATAACCATAATACCCTATCATACATTGCTTTTAAATTATTCTCTCCCTCATCTGTTTCATGGTTCAGTGCAATATACACAATCTATCCAGTTTTTCTCAGTCTTACCCCAACCCTGATATCAGTCCCATTTTATAGCGGTGGCACCATGTAGTATTTGTCCTTTTGAGACTGAGATATTTCACTCAGCATAATGTCCTCCAGGCTCACCCATTTTGAATAATATTGCATGAGTTCCTTGTTTTTCAGTGCAGCGTAGTATTCCATTGTGTGAATATACCCCAGTTTCTCTAGCCATTCATTTGTTGATGGGCACCTGGGTTGTTTCCAACTCTTTGCTATTGTGAACAAAGCTGTGATAAACATAGGTGTGCATATATCTGCTTGGATGTTAGTTATAGTCTCTTTGAGATATAATTCCCAGTAGTGGAATTGCTGGGTCAAATGGTATCTCTATTTGCAACTTTTTGAGAAAGCGCCATACCACCTTCCACAGTGGTTGCACCAAGTGGTTGACTTTGAAAACCCTTTGGAGTACAATTTGATTATAGGCTCTGACTGTGGATAGCACACAGCTGAGCAGCTTCTCACTCTCCTGTGTATGAGAGTGTTAGCCAGGGCTCAACCTTGGAAGCCAACAATAACTGCCTTCTAAGTTAACACTACTTGAAGTTCAGAAGTAACATTTTTTGCTCTCCTGAATCTTCCATAGGCCCGTCAGGTGAGATTTTCATTAAATGAGTACTTTTTTTTTCTTCACTAGCCTAACATCCTTTATTCAAATGATAGCATGGAACTCTTTCATACACCAAAAGAGCTCCCTTTTGCTGTGAGCTAAAATCTGTTCTGAGGAATGCTGATTCAGAAACCTCCTCTACAAAATACCACTCAATTCATTAATGTACTTAATTGCTTGACTTAGAAATTCAGGCCTGTGACAGAGTATAGTAAGAAAATTCTACTTCAAGTTTTTTGTTTGTTGCCTACATTGATTTCAAATACATCCAAATATATATACTTACTATAGTTTTTTCTCTACTAGTTTATTTACAAAACTCTAATACAAATTCAAACAAATTCTTTCAATTTCCCTCACTCCCCCTACCATCAAATTGTACAACCCAAAGATTAATCCCTCCCTCCCCCTGTACATTCACATCCCTCTGCTTCCAGCCTCTCCTACCTCTCCAGGATCCTTATACTCATTCTACAGTAATGGTTTTATACAATATTTATCCTTGTGGGACTGAGTCAGTTCACTCTGCATAATGCTCTCCAGTCCCTCCCAAGCTAGGTAATAATTTAAAAAGTTATTGCCCCTTCATGCTGCATAGCATTCCATTCTGTGAATGTACCATAATTTCTCAATCCATGTTTTTGTGATGGTGACTAATGCTGCTGTGAACATTGGTTTAAAAAAAAATTGTCAGCCGAAGGAATAATTGAAACGTTGTCACTTTATCTTCCAGGTGAAGGTTTCCACAATTACCATCACACCTTCCCCTACGACTACTCTGCAAGTGAATTTGGCTTAAATTTCAACCCAACCACCTGGTTCATTGACATCATGTGCTGGCTGGGGCTGGCCACTGACAGGAAACGGGCATCCCAGTCCGTAATCAATGCCCGGAGAGCAAGGACTGGAGACGGCAGTATGTGAATTGGAAGCCCTCACCAACATGTCTGCTGTGGGTGCCTCTGTTCATTGCTTTAGTTACTGTAGTTCTCTTGTCTATTGGTTGTGGGAGGGGCTGAAGGGTAGGGAGTGGGGAGGATCTATGTGGTCTGAGAAGTTTTTGTTTCTCTCAAAATAATGTCTAAATATACAAGTATCAGTAAAAAACATTTTTAAGAGTCACTGTAACTATGATTTAACATTAGCATGTGGACATATGGTTTAATTGCTGTAGCTACGCTATGTCAAACATAGTTTGTCCTGTGCTTTTGCGTGATGTTAACCCTGATGGGATGAGGGAATTTAATGTTCTTTCAGAATGATTTAGGAGAGTTTTCTTTTTACCGATTAACTCAGCACTGCTTTTTAAACATAGCATCTGAAGGAGCAGGGAAATGGTAGAAGACAAAAGAGGGGTCTTTGCATAAATTAACTGAAGACTGTTTCTGTTTTGTGACTAGTGTGCAATTATATATTATTTTTACAACTTCAGTAAGAGAGTTGACAACTCTTCAAAATGAGAATACAGGAAATGGCTCTTCTATTTTCTCTGGTTACAGTTTGTTAATGCTCCACAGTCTTTGCTTCAAAAATGGTTTGTTCACTGCCTCGCTAGTTTTATGTCCCAGGCTATTACCTTAGTGGTCCTATAAGTCAGTGCCTGTTTAGGTGTTTGATTTTGTTCTCTTTGCTGTTGTCATTATAAAGATGTATGACTCAGACATGCCAGACATCAAATTAAGTACAAATAATTAAGCTCTCATTTAAATGTTTAGACACCTAATTTGTATTCTAATTGAGCCTAGCCACCGATGCATGCCTTTTAGCTATGTCTGCTAAATAAGCTTATTAATTTTCCACACAAGGCCATCAGATACTTATAACCAACAGTTAGTTAGAACTCAGTGTCTATGACTGTTTTACCTGCATGCAGCCTTCGTTGATTTTTACAGCAAAATATCAAGTGATCATTATGTAGTTTCTGGATTAAAAAAAATTGTGTGTGTTAAGTTGCCTTGTAAAGAGCATGTTGAATTAATGGGGCACCATACCCTTTATGTTAGATGTTAGATCAGAAAGAAAGGTCTTTCAGTGTTGCTTTTGGGGTACTTTGAAGATCGATTTTTCAAGAAAGAGGTGGGATTTAAAAGTAAAATTTAAAACTTGGGAAAAAGAAATGATGCAGTAGGAAATTATCATAATCAAATTCTTCATCCAGCAGGTGTTTAACGGTGTTATTTTGCCATTAATTATGTGTAAACTATGAGTGATTTCAAATAAATGATTATTAATTTGATGGTGTTCTTGTCTAGATACTTTGATGTTATTTGGAGAAAGTTCTCACAAAGTTGCTTGATATTTCATGGCGACCATGTGGTTCACATCTAACCCGGGTCCTAAGCTAACATCTGCCCCTAAGATCAGAACCTCTCCCATTCCATCTGTCTTGGGCATCTCCTGTGAGGAAGTTGACAAGTTTTGTGTACAATACAAAACACACACAGACGTCAGTCTCCATTTCTCACTAATAAACATTGTTCCTTGCGCTGCTTCCAGCTGATTAAGAGGAACCACTACTTGGCTCCTGGATAATGCAGATTGTACTCGATTGTCAACAGAGTGGTTGGCAGTTTGAACTCTCCAGAGACACTGGAGAAGGAAAACATGGCAACTTACCCTTACAGATGACAGCCAGGAAGATTACAGCTGTGGAGAAAGCTACGCAAAGCATGGGGCCATAGTGAAGTTGAACTTTAATCCATAGCAGCAGGTTTGGATTTACGGCCTCTGCTGTAGTGTCAGGTGATTTTGACTGAAAGCAGAGAGAACCTGAAAGATATCTACTCATGCTTTATTGATTATACAAAGGCATTTGGTGCTAACATGGAGAAGAATGATAATGTGAGAACACTTAATTGTGTTCAAGTGAAACCTTTACATAGACCAACAAGCTCTTATTGGAACAATACAATGAAACACTGCATGATTTAAAATCAAGAAAGATGTGCATCAGGGTTGTACCCTTTCTCCATACCTATCCAATCTGTATGCTGAGGAAATAATATGAGAAGCTTGAATGTATGAAGAACGTGGCATCAAAATTGGAAAAAACTTGTCAACAACTTAAATTGCAGATAGTGCAACCTTGCTTACAGAAGGTGAAGATGACTTGAAGCATTTACTTCAGAAGATCAAAGACTACAGCCTTCAATATAGATTACATATCAGAATAAAAAAAATCTTCATGGCTGGGCCAATAGGCAACATCGTGATAGAGGGAGGAAGATTGACATTTTCAATAGTTCCCTTTTACTTGGATCCACAGCCAACACCCATGGTAGCATCAGGTAAGAAATCAGAAGAAACACATTGTATTGGGAAAAATCTGTTCTCAAGGACCCCTCCAAAGGACTAAAGAGCAAGAATATCAGTTTAAAAACTAATATGCACCTGACCCAAAGACGTTTTTAGTTGCTTCCTATGCATCTGAAATTTGGACAATGAATAAGGAAGACCTAAGAAAAATCAATGCCTTCAAATTGTGTTGGAGAGGAATACTGAATATTCCATGGACTATCAAAAAAGAACAAACAAATTTGTCTTGCAGAAATTGCAGCTGGGGTGCTTCTTAGAGGCAAGGAAATGGAAACTTCACATGCTTTGAGTATGTTATCAGAAGGGACAAGTCATTAGAAAAAGACATCATTCTAGGAAAGCTGAAGAGTCAGAGGAAGAGAGGACCTTCCACAAGATGTTTTGAGTCAGTCACTGTAATGATTGGCTTGTGCATGATGGAGATCATGAGTATGACGCGTGATAGGACAAGGTTCCAGTTTACTGTTCAGAGGTTCACTGTCATGCTGGTGCAAAAGCATGTAATAACAGTGCTGGTGGCATAGTCGTAGAAAGTTAACGTTACCAACTCAAATGCGATGCATTTAAAATCCACCAGTGGCTTTATGGGAGAAACATGGGCAATCTCCACTGGTGTTACTTATGACCTCCAGTGAGAGTTTAGTGTCCCACGTTCCCATTGATTGCTTAAAGGACACCTCCACACACAGACAACGCCAGTAAGCACAGGCTGACTTATGCTGTTTACCAGTTTGCTGAGCAGAGCTGCACACACTTCTGTGATTATAAGTATGCACAAGTCAGGCCACACTTGCCATGCTTACTGGGTATTCTGTCCTCATCAGGAATTGTAAATTTGAAAAGCGGCTTTGATTCTGTAGGAAGATGCTGTGGGGTTGGGACAGACACATACACATACACAGAATCTTTGATGTGATAAAAGAGTTAGAAATGTTCACTACATATTAATGAGAAAGCCCTCACTCACCTTGCTTGTTGGGTAACCCCAAACTATTTCCCCTCCAAGCACAATTAGGTTCAGCGTTGACTGAGAGGGGGGTTATGGACGCCAACTCTGTCCTGCCTCACTCAGCTTTGACCCTGTGCAGCACCAAGGCTGCCTTTCTTTCCTGCAAAGCGGCTCTCTCTCACCATCTGATGTCAGTTTCTTACACTGCCTGAAGCTGAGTGGAATTCCAGCCATTGGTGGGTTCCACACCAGATCTCATCTTTCTCATCTACAGATCCCTTGGATACGTTTTCAGGAGCTTCCTATTCCAGACCCATGTTGCTAAGTCCTGCTAAAGAGTTGTGGCAGCGTACAAAGTCATTCCAAGATGAGTTTCTATTAGCATAAATCTAAAATGACCCCCAACTAGAAGTGATTTTGTGAACATTTTACCTGTAGCCCACTGCCATTGAGTTGATTCCAACTCATGACATTCCTCCGTTGGTTTACAAGGCTGTCATCTTTTTCTCTTCCTCAATAGCTTCAAACCACCAACCTTTCTGTTAGTAGGCTGGAAGTTCTACTCGAACCCCTAAGAATACCAAACTTTGATTTATGAGTCTTACAATCAGTTTGTCAATAGAAAATGTCTGCGTACAAATAGGTCTGTCTTGTAGAGGGTGAAACCAAGTTTCTCCTTGCAGTCTAAGATTTTGAAGCTCTGTCTCACATACTTTGGGCATGTGGCCAGGAGGGACATCACGCTTGGAAGGGTGGAGGGACAGTACAGGAGAGGAAGACCCTGGATGAGATAAATTGATACAGTAATTGGGGCAATGGGGAAAGATATGTTGGAGTCAGTGAGACTGGCTCAGAATAAGTCAGGGTTCAGAGCTGTTGTACCTAGAGTCACTATGAGTCACAGGCAACTTGATGGCACATAACAACAACAACAGCAAGCTATTTGGGATCTTCTTGCAAAAGCAGACATTTCACCAAGCAGTTCAAATAAATGCACATCATATCTTGGTAGGCAATCGGTTTATTGCAGCAGTATCCATAAATGTGTCGTGATTTGGAGAAAGGAGGTTGGCAAAGGTAGATGAAGAGTGCTCTAGTGCCTTTCATCTTAACATCCCCTGCAGGTCTCAAAGGGAGCTTGGGTGGCCTGGTGGCAAGAAACTGTGCTGCAATCTCAAGACACAGAGTTCGAGGCCACCAGCTGCTCTGCAGGAGGATGATGGGCAGTCTCCTCCTGTGTGATTAACGGCCTCTGAAAACTCACCAAAGGGTCGATTCCAATTCCATGGGACACAACAACAACAACAGCAGATCTCAACAACAACTAAAGGAGCCCCATGAAATGTCTCCAAACCAATCCAAGGCTGCGCCAAAGAGGCCTCATATTTTAAAAGAATAGGATGGTCGTGCTTTTAGCCTCATGCATGGCCTGCCTTTAGTCTCCTCAGCTCTGAATTTATTTGAGGAACAGCCATCCCAACATGTAGGTGAGGAGAGCCAAGGAGAAGCAGTTCTAATAATGAATATTCGAGCATGTTGACAGCTATGTGGAGCTAGCCTGCTGTGGGGCGCCAGCACAAGTAGGATCCAAATCCCAGCCATGCTGCTGGCCAGCTGTGTGACCTTGAGAAAATAACGTTTTCTTAATTATGGGGTTTTG